TTTATAATGCTATTTATAATTTATGCCAGAATAATAAAAATGAAAGACCTGACTCTTTATTATTTCTTGATATCTTATTTGAAAAAATGACTCAAGACCCACGTTGGAAAGTTTTTGTTCGTCATACTGGTAGTGAAAATCGCCTATCAGGTATATTTTGGATATCTCCTAGTCAACTAGAATTGTATAGGCGATTTTCTGATATAGTATTAAATGACAATACTTGTAAAACTAACAAGTATAATATGTACTTAAGTGTATTTATGATAAAAGATAACTATGGAAGATTTCGCAATGTGGCAAATGCTTTAATAGAAGATGAACTTTCTTCAACATACACTTGGATTTTACAATGTTTGGTAAAAGCAACTGACAATATAATTCCAAAATCATTTTGGACTGATTCTGAACCTGGATTAATTAATGCTGTTGCTCAAGTTTTTCCAAATACACCACATTTTTATTGTATATTTCATATATGGCAGAATATTATAAAGCATCTTAAATCCAAATTAGGCGAAAACTTTAGTAATTTTAGTAAAGCTTTCTATGCATGTAGAAATGCATTATGTATAGAGATTTTTGAACAACGTTGGGAATTTATGATAAAATCATTTCCAAACTGTGAACGTTATATGACTAGAACATTATATAATAATAGAATTAGTTGGGCTAAAGCATATATGCCATTCCAGTTTAATAGTGGTATACAAAGTACCCAAAGTGTAGAATCGTTTAATAATATTATTAAAAGGTCTTTAAATAGTACAAGTACACTTTGTGAGGTAGAAGAAGCTATAAATAAGAGATATGAAGAAGAAATTAGATATTGTCAATTAACAGATCTTAAAGCAAAGTATACAACAGTTGGACTTCCACATCTTTCTTCTCAATTTTTTTCAGATGTTGATACAGTTATTGTTGAATTTTTAACAACTCTTATATTATCTTTACAACGTTTTCAAATTTCACAATCATTTACTTATGAAGGGCAATTAATATCTTGTTCATTTGATGTATGTATTATTTCTTAAAAAATAAAACTATTGATATTAATTGACATTTATAAATAAAAAACATTATTTTTCATTACAGAACTCACCTTCTAATACTCCAGATGATAATTTCGTAGAAGATATAGTAGATGAACCACAAGTAATGTTAAAATCTATATTAAATGATATGGATATATCAAATGTTGTTGAAACTTGGAAAATTTGTCAAGTAGGAGGTATTTCTCAAAAAGAAAATTTAGTAGTTCTTTTTAATGATGGATCACATATTTGTACTTGTTTGGAAACAATTACAAAAGGAATAATTTGCCACCATTTTTGGAGAGTTATGCTTTATTCTAATACAGCAAAATTTCATATTAGTATTATTCCTATTAGATGGTACAAAGATGATATTTTAAAGAAATTAAGTAGTAGTATACTTGAAAATTCACCTGTTCTTACAGCAGTAGAATCATCTGATACAGCAATGCTACATACAGTAGATTTTACTCTTCAAAGTTTGAAAAAGCATTTTCAAGGATCTTATAATAACAAAATTATTCAACAAATTATTCCTAAAAGAAATAAATTTGGAGTAGCATTTTCAACTGCAAAGACTGCAATTAATATTGCATTAGAAACTGGATGTGATAACGAATTAGTAAAATTGTTAAGAGATTTTATTTCAACTAAACAAAGAAGTCGAAATGCAGTTGATTTAGAAAATAATATGGAAGTAGAAAATATTGAACATGACGAAAATCAAAATAATATACTTCCTTTACAACAACAACTAATTGATATAACAGCAGATCCTTATGTTACTAAAATTCGGGGAGCTCCTTGTAAAAAAAGAATGAAGAGTAGTATTGAAGTGATGGGAAGAAAAAAGGTAATGCATGAAACTTAAAATCATGTTAATGTACAAGAGACTGATAATAGTGGAGGAACATCAAAGTCGCAACGAAAATGTTTGTTATGCAAAAAACCGGGACATTATCAAAAGAAATGTCCAAGTATAAGAGAGTAAGACAGCAAGTGTGATGTTAATGTAACGATAAGATGCAGTGCATGATATATATAGGTTCGTTAGATCATTTGATTATCTAATAGTTGATAAAGTAATATATATATGCGCATTATACTAATTAATAATTTAATTGCGTTACGTATTACTTAATTAGAGCGAACGAGAAATTGTACAATGTTGCGATACGTTTTTTAGGGGGAAGAGAAAAATCTATATAAAGAACTGCTGTCCACAGGTGGGTGGAAATTTTTTTTTTTATTCATTGCTTCTAATGAAACTTAATCATTTTTTACTCAATAATCATAATAAAATATTCATTAGAAAGAGGAGAAAATTCTACACGTTTTTATTCATTTAAATTGTACTTTTTATTATATTTTTGATGATA